GGTGCTTCTTCGATATCAACCTAAGATATCGAGATGCATGCTCACATCAGCTTGGGACGTCGGGGGAATTTTCAATACTAAAGTCCTTCTTAATTATACAAGGGTCGTGGGTGATTTGCTTAAGAGTTGGCGGTGCCACCGGTTTGACCGGCCGAGAGGTAGAAGAAGACGATGCCTTTTCCTTTTGAGGGACTGTTTCAGAAGTTTTCGCCATGGTTTTAGGTTACAAAAGACAACGAGGCCTGGTTGTTTCTGGTACTAAGAAGACGGTGGTAGGAGAAAACAAAAGGGAACCAATTAAGAGAGAGAGGTATGGAGGAGGTTCAGAGATGCTTGAAAATTAAAGTAAAGCTTTATTAAAGGTAGGACCTTATATTTATAGATGGGGGCAATGGTTCAACAACGTTGGTGGCCGACCAACACTGGCGTGCATTTAATATTTTGGGGAAGCGAACCGACGGGATGTTTCAGTCACTTCGAGCGCCTACATCACGAGAGTGACATCATCGTTATTGACTCCGAAGGATCGAGGTTCAAGTCGTTTCTTATCATCTTATTCTAAGAAACGCGAGGACTATCTGTATACGGTCAAAAATACATGCCTCCGATTTATAGGCTCGATGGTCCGTTCTATGCTCAAGTCTGGAGGAGGTCGAGTTCGAGACTAGTGGACCATGCTCGAGCTCGAAGACAGAGTGCAATTCTCTAGGATGGAAGTTCGAGGAATACCGGGGCCAAGTATGCTCGACCCCGAAATAGTACCGTTATGGATTTGTACCAGAATGGGCTAGATTCCTGTTACGTCCCCAAAGTCATGGCGCAAATTTCGGAATAGCATTGTATGATTCCGTACAAGGCGGTTAGACAGTTGTACCAAGAATATTCCTTATTGTAAATGGAAATATTCCTTATTTAGGATTCCCCTATTATATAAAGGGGACCCAAATCATTTGTAATATCATCTAATCATTGAGCAAAGAATATACTCTCTACTTTTTGCCTATTGTTCATCAGAATTGTCCTTTAGCTTAATTGTTCTTACTGCACTAAGCCACCTCGAGGTCATTAAGCTCGAGGTCACTGCTGCTAAGCAATATTGGTTTGATTCACTTCTATCTTTCATTTCTACTTTATATTTCTTGTTTATTAATCGGTATTGAACTAAATCGCATATCTTTAAAACCACTAATCAAATTTAATTGTTACTCGTATTTTCGAGGTAAACACACCCTTTTTTCCAATCACAAAAAAATAAAATTTAAATATAGAAAAGTCTTAAACACAAATGTGGGTTCAGTGACACTTCAAAATTCATTAATCTTCTATATTAAATTNAAGGAATTCATATTTGTGGTAACGGCACTACCTAGTATCATGTCACCTAATGCAAGAAATAGGAGGGAGCATGGACGTGTTTTTATTCCACCGAATTATGTTGCAACCCGTCTATGCAAGAAAAATGAGAATGCTGAATTCCTTCCACATTTAAATGGAAAATCCTTTCACCTCATTTTTACTAGAATTGATTGGTTGTGAAATGTTTGTTTCTTTCTTGGGTGGGGTCAGAAAAGAACCAATCGAAGGGGGGTGGGGGTGTTGTGCGCGCGCGCACGCTTATTTCTTTCGGGATGCAAAGTCTTTGTTGGGATTGAGGACGATGAGACTTTTAAATAATATAAGGTGAAATTGCAACTTCAGTTCACAACAACTATACATCAATCACAATCTAGCTGAGATCGGACTCATTTCATTCCAATGGCTTCCTCTTTAGAAAGATTAATTAGTTCTATCTTGGAAAATCTGTTTATATTATATTAAAACACAAAATTTCTTAGCAAAATATCGTTCATCTTTTTTATTATTTAAAAATAGATTTCATACTGGATAAATTTGTAATTTAATTACTCCTAATATTTATGACTTTAAAATCAACTAAAATTGTGGTTATTAAATCTTTCCACATATGAACTATTCAATTAATATTACACCTTAAATAAATCAGCTCTTTGTTTCATACTATAAAACATATACTAACTATAATTCATTCCAAATAAAATTTAAGTACAAATTTTATAATCCAAGAAAAGGCAAGAAACTTGATACATATTTGTACTATAAAATGGTCTGCACAATAGTGTCTATCATTTTTTCCCTTTTCCAATTGAATGACTAAATTGTCATTAAATTTCAAACCAAAACAAACACACACATTCAAATTGCAAACAAATATATACACCAAAGTTGATCTTAATGCAGGGGCTTTGCGTTTCTTAAGTTGGAAACAAACTTGTCGTCACGCTCAAGAAAATGGCAAGACGCATAATATTCAAGGCATTATGAAACATAATACCTATTTGTACAAATAATAGAAAATATTTTTCAATAGTTACAACTCACAAGACATTAATTACAAATTTAATTAAAATGTGTAATCCTATTGAAGTGCATTCTACGCCGCCGACCGTAGCAATACAAGCTCAAGTACATAAATTGTGCATAAATATATTTTTAAAAAGTAAAAAATAAATACAAATTTTTTTTTTAAAAAAAAGATACAATATATTTACTGAATATAATTAAGTTGGAGTAAATGTGCATTGTAAACTAAAATGAAGCAAGAAGAAATACATAATTGTAACAGATAAATCATTGTATATGACTATGTAATAATTAACAGTTGAAAAATACTTTATTTAAAAGTTATTTTTCTTTTTTTTCCTTTCCTCACGCACCTAAAAACGAATGTATATCCATGCTCTTCGTCACTTTAACATTATGGGGTAATTAAATAATAACAAGTAAAAAGACTATAAAATTTATGTCTACACTAAATAAAAGTATCAAGTTAATTTGAGGGATTTTCAAGTATTCTATCTTTCAACAAATGACTCCTCAGACATTTTTATATATTAACTTGAAAGACCTTATTAGCTTTTTGTCAGTTAGGGGTATATAAAGAAAATCGACAAATTGCACCAACCCGATAATTCGAATTAAACCGAGAAAAAAATTCGATTATGGTTCGGTTTAATTTGGTTTGGTGTTGGAAAAAAAATCGACCATGATTGGTTTGGTTTGATTTTAACTAAAGAAAGTCAAATCGAAACTAAACCAACCCGACAATACATATATAGAAATTTTAAATATATTTCATATATAAATATACTTACTGTGATATAATTTATAAATATTTCTTAAACTTTTTCATAATTTTATCTTTTAAAATATTATTTCAAGGTTGGACTTAGAACTTTTGAATATTCCAATAAGTTTTATAGCCATCAATATTAGTAACTCAAATAATGCTAACAAAGGCTCAAACCAAAATCAAATCAATATTGATGCTAACAAAGACATTCAATTTAATACTAGGAATGATAATGCGTTGAATATCTATTTTTTGTTTTGCAATGTTTTAGATAAAAATGCATAACCTTTTTTTTTTTTTTTTTTTTTT